TTAACTACTTTTATAAATATGCTATAATTCAAAGCGATTCACACACTTATGGTGCCTACTGTTCGCTTGACTCAATTATCTTATCTTCAATCTATCTGCATATCTCTCTATCGCTAGCTTATATACTAAAAAAGAGGGCGTCTAGCAAACACTGGGATATTTGTGAGGTTCCACGATAAGTAATGATCCTTCTAGAAACTCCAGCGTGCATGCTCCCAGCGTCGCGTGACTTCCGCTGTTGTAACAGAACTATTAAGTTACTCTTATCTTGGTTATTCACAGTACTTACCTGGGTAGACAAGATTGTTAGACATGTTTTTCTTTTGTAAGAAATTACTGTAGTATGAACTATGAAGTGGTCTGTTCTAACTATTGGTAAACACGTAGGGATTCCAGATGTTGCAAGGACTCAATGCACGTATTCAAAAAACAAAAGACTGTGTTACCACACCTTAACATTAAAAGAAATATGAGAATTAGAGTTACACTAGTGATAAAGCATCAAAAACTCTCTCTTCAGTTAACCACAGAAGCACTTGTATAAGTGTAAACTTAGCTTTGATTGTGTCATTTGCAACCAAGATTGTGATTGTTTCCAAACGTGTGTCCAGTCTCTTTTGTGTAAAACCTCAAAAGTAGATAAAACATGGCCTGATCCTGTGATACAGTATCTGATCAATCTTAATGATCTTGTGGTTTCTATAGGCTACTCTGAGAGAAATCAGGTCAAACTGAAAATACCATAGAATACGTAGGAAGAAAAACTTTGATGCTGTGACCCCAGATACTTTTATTTCAGAGGTTGGATTTCTCTGGACAAGCGTCTTATTGCCCGTGTTCTTTAGCTCTAGTGCTGTTGAGTTGGAAATTTGCTTTAAAATGGTATTTTCAGGGCAAAAGACTTGAGGTCAGAAGGAAAATGAATCCTCTCTTGGATATTGGAGATAATTTTTCCTACACAGAAATGTATTTTCAATAGATACTTACATAAAAGTTTTTCTTGATTATTACTACCATCTACATCTCAAATTTTTTGCTCTTGATACTCCCACCCACCCCACATGTTTAACATGGTTCAGCTACACTGTAGCATGTAAATAATCATGGAACAACCCTCCACCAATAGGAGTACAACTCAAATTCCTCGCACAGCTAGCTCTCCCCGATTTATAGAGTATAACCTCACTTTGAGATTAGGGGGGGGGGGTAAGTATCCATTGGAAATACATTTTCTGGTTAAGAAAATTATAATTTCTGACATGACACCTTACCTCTCTTACATAAAAGCTAGAATCCCACATTGATCTGGTGGATGGATCAATGTAATATTACCCAGATTAGCCCCTTCAGAATGCATCTAAAGAGAGCCAATGGAGCATGACATCTCTGTGAAGAAGAAACACTCATGGAAGACTGCACCACATCTGAAACAGGTATACTCTTTGCCCTTGATGAAAAACAGTGTCACTAAATGGGCAGCAAAGAGGAACATATAATAAATAGTAGAAAGTGTCCCAGAAATAGTGGACAGGGCAAATCTGGATGAACCTGTGTAAACAACTCCATCCTCAAGCTATAGGAACTGTGAATGATACATCCAGTCACCAGAAGGAGGAGGTCCTCAACCAATTGACACTAGACTTGCCCATGGTGTAGAGTGGCTAGGGCACATCAGACTATAATAAGGAGATCAACTCCAGCCTTAAACTGTTGGAATGAGTGTTGATACTTCCAGTCCCTAGAGGGTGGAAGTCCTCAACCCACTGGGAGATCAGCTCCATCCTCAAACTGTTCAGACTGGGAAAAATATGTCCAGTTCCCAGAAGGAGGAGGTCCTTAACCAAACAAACCCAGATGCACATATAAGATAGTGATTAGGGTGAGTCAGACCAGTGAGATCAATTTCATCCCCAAACCATTGAAACAGAGATTGTTGCATCCAGTCCACAGGAGGAGGAGGTCCTAAATTATCAGGAGATCAACTCAATCCTCAAACTGTTGAGATCAGAAATGGCACTTCCAGTCCCCGGAAGGATGAGGTCCTCAATCAGTCGAATTCAGATGCATCCCTAACGTAAAATGAAGATGGCACGCTGGACTGCAATTGGGAGATCAACTCAATCCTCAGAACCATTGAGACCAAGAATAAGTCCCCGAAAAGCCAGAGGTCATCAACCAATGTGGAAGACAAACTCTATCCAAAACCAGTGGTATCACAAATAGTTCATCTGTCCCATGGTAGGAAGGAGGCCTTCTACCATTAACCTCACTTCTGAAAACTTTTGTTGGTTGGTTCAGCTCAAATTTAAAACCAGACCACCTGGGAAGTGACATCCAGGGAGCAGTAGAATGAGAAGTCCCAACCAGAGGGGTGAACTCTCATTATTATTGGATCATCTTCAGCCCATAACAGGCAGCAATGGGAAAATAAAATCCCTGCCACAGTAGGTTCTATTCCATCTACATTGGCAGAACACCATTGTCCTACTTTTAACTGACTGGAATAGAACACACTCAGGAGGATGCATTAATCATTCAACACCCCAGCAGCTAGGAGCTGGTAAGTGGTAAGGACTCTTGTACTTCATTAGGAGATAGGGGAGGGAGAATGCATTGGAGAGACCGAAGGAAAGCAGCACTGGTAACAGTGCAATGTGTGACCACAAATCCTATTCTGAAAAGACTAATACCAATTTCCTCATTCTAAGGATCAGTAAGGATGGGCAACAATTCTAGTCTGCTTTACCCATGCTAGTCCATGAGTGTACAGTCTGGGACAAACATTTTTATGATGTTGAAAAAAACCACAAGGAAGAATCTATGAGGAGTCTTGTGGAACACCCCATCTTAACAGTGAGCGAATTAGACCTTAAAAGACCATACAGTGTGGATTTGAGAGTAAGTATACCAAGACGGGCAACACTTGC